ACCTTCGCAATAGCATAGTATGTGTACGGAGGTTTCCACATCCTCTTGGCAAAGCCTGCATAGGTCTGTGTCTGCCAGTCCGATGTTGTTCATGTGTTTGTTGAGTCTACAGTGTCCCGTCAATAGCCCGACCAGAACTCTAGTTGATCGCCTATTCAGACTTAGTAGGTACTCCGTGAATTTTGGCGATGGCTCTTTAATGAACTCTTTGGCCTGTCTCATACCCGGCGCCTTATTCCACCATTTTTGAGATTATTTTTCCTTCCAGTTGCTGTTACAAGTTTTTCGCAGCGCTTTTGCTGTACCACAAAAGAAGCCAATGGAGGAGCGTCGTGCTAATGAATCAGTCTCTTCGTTGCCCTTGTATCCTGTGTGGCCTGGTACCCAGGCTAATTACAGTCTGTTTTGACTACCTAGTTCTTGTAGTTTTTCTAGGCAGTTCCAGACCAGTTTGAAATTGACCTGCATGGAGCTAATTGCTTTTATAGCTGCTTGGCTATCAGAGTATATTGCAATAGTATTTTCCTTAAACTCTTGCCTTAGTAACTCTTCTGCGCAGTGACGTATTGCTGCTGTTTCTGCCTGGAATATCGTTACTTTATTACCTAAGCTTAGTGAGCCTTTTATCTTTGGTTTAGTTATATAGATTCCTGCTCCTACACCTTCTTCAGTTTTTGAGACGTCTATGTAACAGGCAATCTCTGCATTTATTGGAGGTCCTCCCTTCCATGCCTCTCTGCCAGTTATAATTGTTTTGAAGTTTTTTCCGAAGCTATACTGGGGAAGCATCTCATCCGATGGCATTCCCATTATGGGGTCGTTTTCCAACTCTTTGTTTAGCTCGTTTTACCTCTTATCGTGCAGCATGCTTCTAGGTATTTGCCCTCTAGTCAGTCTACTGATGACTGACCTGGCTTCCCCTTGAATATATAGATGAAGTGGCGTTAGGTTCAGCAAGACTTCTAATGCTGCTGTTGGGGTGGTTCTCATAGCTCCCGGGGCAGCCAGGCAACCTTGCCTTTGAATGCCACTTAGCCTGCGAATCGCCCCAGCCTGCTGAGTCTTTGGACACCATACCACCGAGCCATATGCTATCATGGGTAAGATAACCCTGGTATATAGCCATATGGTCATTTTTGGTTGTAAACCCCAATTTTTTCCGCACATCCTTCTACACAAGTTGAAGGCTATCGTGCTTTTTTGGATTATTTTTTGTAGGTGTTTATTCCATGTCAACTTGTGGTCAAAAATGACTCCCAAGTATTTTGCCTCTTGTGCAATTGGAATTTCTACCCCGTGCAGTATTGGTGGCTTCAGCCCTCTAAGTACTTTCTTTTTTGTAAAGACTACTGCTGACCGCAGGGGGTGAAGTTTCTGGTATGATTATCATACAAGAATTAGTCCCCCTAGAAATGAAAATCAACGTGTTCTTTGAAATTTTCGATTACACGTCCGTTTCTGACTTATAGGGGAACGCCCTTTAAACCACGACACAGTGGAATAAATATTTGTTGAGATATGGAGCTACAAATACACATACCATTAAAACAGACAAAACGTCTGAAATAGTCTAATAAAAACGAAATTTGTTCACAATCCGATGTATCTATTTATCTACTCATCTCAAACGCTATAAATGATTGGCTGAGTTGTTTTGAGATAAATATGTAGCAGTCAATAAATACGAAAACCAAATTAATATGTTTTCGCCAATCGATCGNTCTTATTCGAACTGATTAGAAGTAAACTTATAAGTTTTTCCAATAGATCTTGAATATGGTATTTCAACAAATATTTCTTCAACCCCCATTCCGTAGGGTGTCAACTCATTTTAATAACGCAATGTCCCGCAATTGTAAAATATAATCTGATTTTAAATTACTTTTTCTTGAAATTTCAAAAATCAAAATTACCCTTCCTCTTTTCCTGAATTGGAAAACTTTATTGCCAATATTTCCATAGATATTACCTGTACCTTTTTTATAACTGGAGCCTTTTTAGGAAGATTTTTGACAGAAAAACTTTCATATATTATTTGGTGAAACGTAAAAATTCCATTCAACAATATTAATATTACTTTAAAAGGTTAGTTGTCGAGAATGAAGCTCCAATAATGAGTATAATATTTTCAAAATGACAGCGAACGCCAATGGAATCACCCTCAATAGAGTTTATAATCGCTTTACTCTGCCGATATCCACTCCAAACATGAGCCAGCTGATAATGTTATGGTCACCCTTTAACTAAAGTTCACCACCTAGCTTGTATTAATATTTCATTTTTTTAAATTTTTTGTAATTCAAATCAATTTATATTAAATCAGACAATGGAAGTCCGAAGTGATGAAATACACCACGAAACATTGTCAACCACCTTCAAACACATACTTAAATCTATTACAAGACTGTGTAGATCCTATGATTACAGAATGGTGCACCCCTACATTTTGATGTTCGGGTGAGACAGTTTTGGGACGAAAGTTCTTCAATGCGTTGGATCACCTGATCTCACACCGATGGACTTCTTTCTGTGAGGACATCTGAAGTCTAAAGTTCACCTGTGACAGAGAATTGTTCGGGAAAGCCGATTTCTGACTCCGGATTTCTTTAATAATGTAAGGAACGCTTTCGAAAGTAGACTGTATTATTGTATGGAACTATATGGTGGTCATTTTGAACAATTTATCTGTCAATTTTGTTTCCACTGATATTATTTATTGTTGACTTCCTCATTAAAATTAACGACAGGGAATTTTCTGTTTTTTCTTGAATTAAACGTTGTATCAATAACGAATGTACCAATTTCGAAAAAATCACAGACGTGACCAAAGACCTTTCAAATGATGTATCACTTGACCCCCCACGCCATTGAAAAACATAGGAGGGTAGTTGCTGACCGCAGGGGAGTGAAGTTTCGGGTATCATTTTCATATAAGAATTAGTCCCCCTAGAAATAAAGATCAACGTGTTCTTTGAAATTTTCGATTACACGTCCATTCCTGACTTACAGGGGGGTCAAGTTTTCGTTGCAACGCCCTGTAAACCACGACACAGTGGTTTACAGGCTCCATATCTCAACAGTGTTGAGATATGGAGCTACAAAAACACATACCATTAAAACAGACAAAACTTCTGAAACAGTCTAATAAAAACGAAATTTGTTCACAATCTGATGTATCTATTTATCTACCCATCTCAAACGCTATAAATGATTGGCTGAGTTGTTTTGAGATAAATAGGTAGCAGTCAATAAATACGAAAACCAAATTAATATGTTTTCGCCAATCGATCGCCGTGCTTAAATTTGATTTGTTACAAATTATACCCCAGGGAAAATGATTATAAAGCTATAAAACGCATCGTTTAATCGAAATAAGTGCCGTGACGACCCTAGGGTTGAAACAATGTGAAAAAACAGATGTGTTGCGGGTTGTTAAGTTGCGAATCACCCATCAACGTCGGGGACGGGGTAGATATGGTTATGAATGAAAAAGATATTTGAGAAATTCTCAGTAGTACAGGCAGGATTATTCTATTCAATTTGTAATTGTGCTAGGAGCTATTACTTTGAGTACATAAGTTTTGTATCCGTGTTTAGTATACTTTATCATATTTATTGAACTTATAAATATTCCATTAACTTTTGTAATTGATTCCATAATATTTTGGAGTTGATCTTGAAGTTTTTCCCTCATCAAGTAGATCGGTACTTGTTCAAGTAGCAGAGCTACAATTCTTTTTTATACAATATTCGAAACTTAATTGTTTCCTGATTTTCAATAATGTGAAAAATAAAGATATTCGTATCAATGAGAGCAAATTGATAAAGATATAGAGTTTATAATCGCTTTACTCTGCCGATATCCACTCCAAACATGAGCCAGCTGATAATGTTATGGTCACCCTTTAACTAAAGTTCACCACCTGCACCGTTCATCATCATAATTTGAAAATACTCATTACATATCGATTTGATTATCAATTTTGTGATTCACTCTCCACACCGCAAACCCCTGTTCCAGGTGTTTAAACTGATATTCGCCTTGAGAATTGACAACTGTATTATATGAAAATGGTTTGAACTAACTAAGATACAGATTTTCTTCAGTAAGATCACAGAATAAATAAATATAGTGATTATGTCTTATTCTTTCGATATCAGAATCGCTATTGTGGCATACCTATGCTATATTTTTAAAATATAATATATCGTGTGTCCCATTCAAAATGGAAGCACCCTTATAAAACGTATATCCTTCAAACCGATAGGATGAAGAAGAATTGCTCAAGAAAAAGGTTGAAAACAAAGCCATTGCCATTTTCACTGACAGCCAGAAGGCAATTAAGGTGCTTAGCTCCTAACAAGTCTTTTCACGATTTGTAGGTAGCTGTCTCAGCGCCGTCAGAGAGCTAGGTTTCCACAATAGGGTTACTCTAACCTGGATACCCGGACACAAAGGACACAAGGGCAAGGAGGCCAATGCATCAGCCCGTGAAGGTGCATTCAAGGCCATGATAGATCCATAACCCTTCTGTTGTCTGGCGAAGACAAGTATAAAGACATCTATCAATAAGGGAAGCGAAATATTTCATAAAGAAACCCTCAACCAAATTCAAGGAACAACTGCAAGGTTGTAAAAGTAGTCGAAGGACGGCTCATGATACATATAAGCATTATGAGTCTGGCAGAAGAATCTCTATGCAGATTCTGCCAGATGCCAGACGAAACTGATCTAGACGTGCTGTGCGAATGTGACTAGAGGCTATAAGTTATATAAAGGAGCCAATATCAGGGCTTTAGTGTCTCATCAAAAAAATCAAACTAGATAAACAGCTCCGATAACCAAGAATACCTACTGTGTTAATGTTTCGATATTTCTATTTCAAAATATTTATTTTCTGTATCTCCTCGATACAGTCTCCAGTCTACAATAAAACCAACATATTGGTCAACAGGTTGAAAATTGTACACGTATGAGTCACTATACAGTCATCTTGAATGTCTCATTGACAAGGTTTGTTTTGACTAAATGTCACAAAGTTTTATGTTTTATTTTCTGGATACAAGAAGCCTCCACACTTTACTTATATAAAAATAGTAACGTTTGCAATAATGGCTCTACCAAAAACAGACAAAAAGATCAAAGACATGGTACAGGCTGATGAAATGTGGAAAGTTTATATCCGAGCTGGTGATGACTCTGAGAAAATTTGGAGATATAACTGGGGTTGGATGCTTGACGAATACAAGTAAGTGAAACAAATTATATGTATATAGATTTCATTCATCCACTCCCTACCTAGATGAAAATTATTACAAATGAACTACAGATATAAGAAATGAAAATTCAAATCAATTCTCAAAGGCCAGTTTTTGTGACCTCAATCAGTAGGACAATAAACACACAATAACCAAAATTTCATCAAATAGCATCACATCAAGATGTGAATGACGTTCTTTGGTGTTTGTTTGATTTATATTCCAAAGATAGTTCAAACTTGTATTTTACTTCCATTTCTTGAGGAATCCTAACTCAATGAATATCAATGGGAGCGTTGATACACCCGCTAGCAATAAAAAAAAAAATGTGTTCTATGTATGTGTAGCGAATGTTAATTGGGATGTATCATTTGTTTTTTTTTTTTGAAATGTAACTTTTCAGAGATTTAATAAAAAGTTATTCAAAAATTGAAAAGGAAAACGTCCCTTTCGTGCTTTCGTGCTTTCTTAAGCAAATCATACAGCTCAATCAATTATTATTGTAGTTGTTACATACAGTGAGTGATTTATCATTCCTTCTCAATCTTACTGGAATTGAATCCCAACACCAAACCGGAAGTTTGATCTTCCTCTTGAAGATGATCACTTGGTGATAGAAACACGTATCGAGGTGTTGAAAATAACGATTTGGTGTATTGGTATTATTCATTATTACACCAAAGATGGTGTAATAATGAATAATGGTGCATCATAATTACTTCTGAAAATGATACAAGAAACTATTTTTTTTATTTTGATAATATTTAGGGATTTGAAACAGAAGATGGACGAGAAGACAGCAACCTCTGAACTCTTAAAACGAGTAACGAAGGAAAAAAAGAGAGATAATAGGGTTTTAGGAAATTTTCCTTTGTCATTAAACCACTGGTATGGTTGGCTGGCTGAAAAAAAAGAATACCATTTAGAGAGTATGACGAGTCCGGACTTTTTCAAACCTCTTCCGCTACCTGAAATATACAGGGTAACTGAAAAATGAAGATAATCCTCTGTAGGGAGAAAAATTTATTGTTATTTTTTCTGACATTGTTTTGAAGAATACTTAACAATTTTTTTTGTTATTCAGTCACAACAGAATAAAATTAATTCATTGTGAAGAATTTATATCATTTTCTTTTGGCCGGACGACAGAGATTTGAAACCTTCAGAAATATCATGTTATACAACCTTAAATGATGTGATTCAAAATATATCCAGCTTTAGTACAAATCATACCGTTCTGACAGATATTTATTCCAAAGTAAGTGAGAGACAAGTGTGTTATGGCCAACCCTTTCCGGATCTCAATCCTCTAGATTTTTATTCGGAGTTGTAAAATGAATACATAATGTTGTCCAATTAGGACAACACACTAATGAAGCAACCTGATACAACCCTGAAAGTGCAAGACATAAAAAAAAATTCACAATGAGGCTCTTTTGATCTGAAATAGGAACTATTTTCAGCTTTTTGCTTTTTTGTAGGCTCACATAGATTTTTTTTATGAAATTTGATTTTATTCGATATAGTTGCCGTCGAGGTCTTCAGCCTCAAAATAGACCTCAGTTTCGACGATTACCTCCTCATCGGTGCTAAATTTCTTTTCAGCGAGCAGTAGTAGTCTGAGAACAGAAAAAAGGCGCTGGGGGCGGATCTGGAGGGCACGGTGGATGTGGAAGCATTTCGAAGCCTGATTCATGCAATTTTGTCATCGTTTTCATCGATTTGTGACATGGTACATTGTCTTGATGGACTTTCATCCCTGATTTTGTCCTTCAAAATTTCCAATAACGCTATGTAATCAACACCAACCGCGCTAATGGAGTTAATTACTGGTTGCGTTAATGGTCGTTACTCGAAATAGGAATGGGTCAACTGGGGCTAAGCCTATGGCGAGAAGCGCTTACTGCGCAACCTCTGCTGCAGACATCCAGTGATGAAAAATACAAATCAAACAGAACACAGAGTGAGATGCTACAAATGCAATACGCATATATACAGACGGCTCAGAAACCAAAGAAGGATCAGGATGTGGAGTTTACTCCAGATCACTAAGCCTAAGAATTGAGTGGGGAATGGGAAAAAATACCAGCGTAGTTCTAACAGAACTGGCTGGCATCTCAATCGCCACAAAGGAAATAACCAGGAAAAGAATTTCCGGCAAAAACATAACAATCTGCACTGATAGTAGACAAGCCCTATTAGCCTTGAACAGACAACGTCTTACCACAGGGCTAGTACTAGAGTGCCACAAAGATTTAGTCAAAGCTTCGGTAGTTAAAGCTGAGGTGAGTTAAAGGGCACGACAACAGTAAAGGTAATCGCATTGCCGAGTCTTTATCCAAGAAGCGGCTGGACTAAGAATTTTAGGACCCCGTGACAACTACGGCCTGATGACTTCGACAATTGCGGAACTAGCCAAACATCACACCCATGCTCAATCCCTAAAAAGATGGGATAAAATCGAAGGATGCAGTCTTACCAGGATCACCCTGGGCGACTCTGGGAAGCTGGCATGGAAGAAATATCTGGCGATGACCAGAAAAAACATTGCTTATCAGTAGGATTTCTGACTGGCCACTGTTAACTAAGGAAACACCTCCATATTATGGTGATGGTGGATACACCAGAGTGTGTGTTCGGCGAGTCTTGGCCTACACCTGCTGATATAAAGGAAATGTCTCCTAGTGACCACCTTCCTGGAATGCACAGGATGGACGACGGGTCACATGTAGCCTAAATGCTGTGGACCTACACTCACACTCCCTACTCTACAGATACAGATATGCTATGTAATAGTCGCCGTTGGTAGTTCGAGGTTGATTATACCATGCGCATCCTAAAATACTGATACCGTAACCTTGCCAGTCGACCGTTGCGTGTTTCATCCATTATCGCATATCGACACATAAATTCGGATTTTTTATTATAGAATAGCTTCAAACAATGATCAGAATCATCAATTCGTTATTGTTTTTTGTCGATTGTAAGCACACACTTTGAACACAGCTTTCGCATACCCAAATATACAATGCACGATATGTCCAACACGTTCATTGATATCTTTAGAGCCTCAGGAATCTGCGCCAACTTCACTTTGCGGTCATCCAAAGTTATTTTGTGGACTTTTTTGATGTTTTCATTGGTAACAGCCTCTTTGGGGCGTCCACTGCGTGTATTGTCCTCGGTGCTCATTTCACTTAGTTCAAACTTGGCAAACCACTTCTCAACGGTTGGTGAAAAGTCCGAATGGTGTTTATCAAGCCAACACTTGACTTCAACAGTATTTTTTAGCCATAAGGAAATGCTTTATTAACGCACGAAATTTATTTTCATCCATTTCCTTCAAAATATCAAAAGTGACTTCACTCAAATTGTTCTATCCTACAAACTAATAGTCCGATAGCTGTGAAATTTGAACACGTCTTTTGAAGGCTAGGGTTGACCGAAAACTATATGGATTCAATACTTGTAGCGCAATCTGTGTCTGCCCACCTAATATTTTCTCATTTTAACTGTAAGAGTTTATAGTTTCATCAATGTATAGGTAAATTTCACAAAACATTCACTTTTTGGTTTATTTTATTTGGTTCATAAATAATATTTGCCATATTACTATATTGAATATTACTAGAGTTTTTCCCAACACCAAATCGTTATTTTCAACACCTCGGCACGTGTTTTGATCACCAGGTGATCATCTTCAAGAGGATGTTTGATCTTCCTTGAAAATAACGATTTGGTGTTGAAAAAAAACTCCAGTAATATTCATTACTACACCAAAGGTTCCAAACAGTGCATCACAAGTATATTACTATATTCTTCATTACGAATTATATATTTTATTGATCAAAAATAAATCACCAGAAAATATGATTCTTAAGGTTAAAATCTTTCAAATATGTTTTTCTGTTAACCAGCTGTCGCACCCCTACGAACGAAGGTCTTACCTTAACGTGTAATTCCTAACACGGGTTGGACGATAGCAAGTGATAGTAGATCGTTCAGACTAGGACTTGAACCACCTACCAACACGGCGGTCGATTTGAGTGAGTGAACAAAGCACCCACGTCGAATCGCCTGGCTACCGACCGCTGCCGACTGCAGTCATTAAAGGGGCCATTGACCATCACAAATGAAACCAAAAGTCTAGTTGTTACTATTGAGTATAACCTGAAATTCGAAAATACAACTTACTAAGTTTTCAGTAAAACTCATATCATCATTATTCATATCACAGAGTATATTTATAATCAATATTAAACAAACTATGTTGTTATATTACATAATTTATTTTGTTTCTAACAGAACTGCTTTGTAAATTTCCATTTCAATATGCATGTCTTGTTCTTATACTTCAGAGTCCTGAATATGAAACAATAAAGTTTCGAAACGTCGACAATTTAGAAGTTGGTTTCCTTCAACATTTTGACCGAATTCCCGCCAACTTGACAATCAAAATTATCGTTAAATATTGTTTGTTTTGCTGGATTGAGCCCTATCTGAATTTGATTGAAACTCAGGAATATTTCTGAGTGAGTTTGCGAATTTTATGCTATTTATTTCATTTTTTTTAATTTTAATTTACTCCTATAGTTTCTCTTAGTTCACATTATATATTCTTTTCACTGCCTATACTTTTCATTGAACCAACTACAACTTTCCCGTACATAATTAAACTCGATGAAATGGCTTGTTTTCCAATATCTCCCTTTCAAGGCGTCAGACTAAAACTGGTTCGAAAGGAATAAAGCCTAGTAACGACCTAATTCAAGCAGAACCATTACGAAAGCACTGAAACCAAATGAAACCATCGAGGCGGCCAAGAGGGCCTTATATTCGGCAACGAACGACGCTTTACCCTGATTAAAGCTGAAATTTATAGAAAGTCGTAACTCTGCCCTTCTATATAGACCAGGCAGCGGTGTGTGGAGATTTGTACGAATGTCAATTTTCGTATGCATATAAAACTGTAGGTTTTATGCGAAATACGATGTTGTGACGAAAAATACATAGAAATAGTTATACAACTATAGGTCTTTTCGAAAATCATGGATCTTAAAAACAGACCTTCTTTTACAACAACTGGATAATACTTGTAGCACAGCTTATGGTTTATAAATAGAATTTGGGACATTCGGCGTGAAATGAATCTATTGAAAACATTTTTCTGACCAAGGTAGCATCATCAGGAGATGCCTGACTCTAAGTCATCTCCTGATGGTGTTAACTTGGTTAGCTAAACGTAAGTCGAGAAACAACATTCTTATTCTGATGAGGCGAAAGTGTGTTCAATAGACAGCTTATGGTTTCGAACGATATACCCAAACTTACATGCAAGGGGCTACTTATTTTATCAATTCGAGGAAGATATCTTCAATTTGCAATCAACAAGAAACTTCGATACGTATTCTGTACAAATTTCCTAGCCATTCCAAAAGTGATACCCAATAATACACCATAACAGGGGTTCGTTCTTTGTCAAAGGTCATTGTTGAACATCTTGATTCCCGCAAAACCAACCAATGCCAGTACACTAGGGGATTCAAAGAAAAAATTACTACTTGAATCAGGGACGTATAGGAAACTCAATCAAAATCCGACCAACAGAATTTTGATAAGAACGAATCATCTCGTCCGTTCATCAGGTTACGATGGTCTTCCTCCACATTTATAGGGCCTACCAAAAATCCACAAAGAGAATATGTCACTAAAATGTAGCCTAAATGTGATGGGTTCAGGAACTTATGAACTAGCCATACAGCACCTTTTGACCCTACCTATAAAAAAGATAAAAGATATGAGGTTAAGTCCAAAAGACATTTCAGTGAGATTCAATGTGGTTTCTAGAAAACATAACCTCTTTGTTCGCTCATTATTTTTCATGGATGTATTTTTATTGAGTGGTGTTTTCTGTGAAGAATCGGATGACACCGCAATGGCTAGCCCATCAAGTCCTATTGTGAAAATTTTTTCGTGGGAAAATATGATGAACAATGTGTCCTAGAACGAGCAGTTATGGAACTATATTGTTGGTTGAAGAAGAAA